AAAAAAAATATTTTTGAAAAGGAATTCCTAGGTAAGGAAAATCATCGAACTAAAAATTACATGTGTAGTTGAATCTGTAGGGACAAGCACAGATGTCAGAGCAGAACTGTAGTAGCTCCTAGGAGCTGCTGTGAGAAGGAGCTGCACAAGTTTGCTAACTTGCCATTGGTAGGCTTTCTTTTTCTTCTCTCGGCATTCCTTGGAGTTTGTCTCAAGCGGTTGGTTTTTCATGGGGGTCTTTTCTGTTTTGAGCAAAGGCGGCTTCGATGATCCACCCTAAGGAGGTGCCCCCTGAAGCCATCTTACTGGCAGTCTACCTGGAGCTGCAAAATGGTAAGTCAGCCTTCTCCCTAATTAGGACTGGACCCTTTCAAAGAGCCCCAGGTGTTTGGTATCTGGTTTATCTCTTTGAATTTGAAACTCGGCCTTCCTTGAACATATTACCCATCAAGTTCTTCTAGGAAAAAAAAATCGGAGCTAGGGAGTTTTTGGTGTCTTACAAATTCCTGCTTCTTGCGAGTTAGCCATATCTGCTTCTTTTTTTAATCTGTGAAAAGGCAGGGAAGCATAGCTTCTGACAGCTAATTATGGTTTAATCCCTGCTAATTAACCTTTCTCTTAGGCAGCCCAAATGAAGTGAGACCATGAGTCAGGATGCCAGTTGCTAAGAGTTGTACACTGTAGCATTTGGAACATAGATGTCATTAGTGAGTTTTACAGTAAGCCAGTTTTGCTGGAATCATCCAAACCTAAATCCAGGCCATACCTCTGAGCACATACAACCCTTGAGGACGTGGCTTCTGGGAAGAACGGCTGCAGGCCCTATAGAAGACAGCGTGAAGCAGAGACGAGACCTGAAACAGACATACTAAGAGTTCTGAGTCGTGTCTCCTTTTGATCGTGGGGATCCTTACATGGTTCCTTTCTTTTCATAGCTTTTGCCAGCATTTAAGTGCCTGGTACCCAGCTGGCCTTGGCTTCCCGAAAGGTGTGATTAGGGCTGGCCCACTGGCCCCAGAGCCCTCTTCCATGCAGTCTACCTTCGGAGACCGGTTCTCAGGCCGGGCTGTATCTCAGAATCACTGTGGGGCTCTTCGCAGGGCGCACCCCGTGTCTCTGAAATCAGTTTGTGGGGATGGGACACACGTGTTATGTGGCTTCAGGCAGCAACGGCGGCAGACCGCTGCTCTCCTGGACCACCTTTGGCTCCCTTGCACGCTGCCGATGGCTCGCTTTGTGCGTGACGGTGTTTATGCTGCTTCGTTAATGGGAAGTGTTTTTATAGGTAACACCCAGCTGGCCTTGCAGATCATCAAAAGGAATCAGCTGCTTCCTGCGGTGAAAACACTGTCTGAGATGAGAAAGAAGCCAGTGTTCCAGCCTGTCCACCCGGTCCAGCCCATCCAAATGCCGGCTTTCACGGCACACAGAAAGTGACATTTTTGCTCTCAGAAAACTGTTACTTGAGACCAGGGGGGTATTGACAGGCCTCTTCAGTTGTATCACGGCAGAACGAATAAAAGAAAGATGGTGAAAGGTGCTAGTTTTGAAGACACGCTTTTGAAACGATTCTAACCCCTGGTTTTCTTTTTGCAGGAAGCTTAGTTAAAATCAAGGGTTCACAAACTCATTTTCGTCCGTTTTTCTTCAGTCTTAAACTGTGAGCCATTATGTGATGTGTCTGTGTCACGGGCAATTAAAACACGGTCTTACCAGAAGAGTCTTGCACGGTTTTGCTGTTCTTGCAGCCGCTGGACCGTCTTAGCCCCGGGGGTTTAGCGCTCAAGCTCCCGAAGCTGCCACAGCTGTCGCTGGATGAGCAGCCGACCCAGCAGCTGGCCTGGGGGCACAGAGGAGGGACACCGATGCGTCTTCTGCCTCCTTGGGGCCGAAAGGGCCAGAAAATGCACAGGAAAACCCACGGGGCCAGGAAAGTTGGCTTCAGAGGAGACAACCGGGCTGATAGGAATCACTTGCTTCAAGATTAGAGATGAAGAGCAAGCCGGTTCAGGGCACGGGTTGTGTTCATCTCCCCTGCGCCCTCGGGCAGAGGCCCCGCTTCTGGAGGCTGTCAGCAGGGAGCCCCAGGTTCATTGCTAAGCCCTGTGCAGGTGCAATCAAAAAGTTAAAAAATTGCATCTTTCTGGGGGGCCTGGCTGGCTCAGTCGTAGAGCATGTGACTCTTGATCTCGGGTTATAAGTTTGAGCCCTGTGTTGGGTGTAGACATTACTTAAAAGAATAATTTTTTTTAAAAAGTGTTTTAGGGGCGCCTGGGTGGCTCAGTCGGTTGAGCTTCAGACTTCGGCTCAGGTCCTGATCTCACAGTCTGTGAGTTCGAGCCCCGCATCGGGCTCTGTGCTGACAGCTCAGAGCCTGGAGCCTGCTTCTGATTCTGTGTCTCCCTCTCTCTCTGACCCTCCCCCATTCATGCTCAGTCTCTCTCTGTCTCAAAAATAAATAAACATTAAAAAAAATTTAAAAATAAATTAAAGAAAAAGGTTTTTAATGTTTACTTTTGAGAGCAAGAGAGAGAGTGTGAGTGGGAAAGGGGCAGGGAGAGAGGGGGAGACACAATCCAAAGCAGGCTCCAGGTTCTGACCTGTCAGTACAGAGCCCGACGCGGGGCTCAAACCCACAGACCGTGAGAACATGACCTGAGCCTAAGTCAGACGCTCAACTGACTGAGCCACCCGGGTGCCCCGAAAGAATAATTTTTTTAAAAATTGCATCTTTTCGAGAGACGGGTATATGTTATGGGATTGACATGACCAAAATTTGTCCATAAGGTCAACACGTTAACTTTGGGATAAAAAAGCCGTAATACAGACTTGTTTAGAAAAATTGGGTGAGGAGCGCCTGGCTGGCTCAGTCAAAGGAGCATGCAACTCTTGATCCTTAGGGTTGTGAGTTCAAGTCCCACATTGGGTGTGAAGGTTACTTAAAATCAAAAAAAAAAAAAAAGAAAGAAAAAACTGGGTGACCTTCTGGTTGAGACCGTGTTTGGCATGTTCATCCAAGCTTGCTGTTTGGAAGTGTCCCTTGCTGTCTACACCTCTTCAGTTCCCCAGTTTGGAGACCACGTTCAGACAGGGAAGTATGACACCCCAGCTGATCTCTGTACTTCCCCATTTTCACACCTGGAGAGGAAAGTGTTTGGGTAACAGCACATCATTTACTCAACACTTGATGTGACTTACTCTGTTGCTGAACTCACTTCAAATAGGGATATCTACCAGAACAAGGTGTTTGTGGAGATAACTAGACATTGCCCACAAAGGACTCAGAGAAGGTGGGGGGGGGGGGTTCTTTCTGCACTTCTTATGTTTATTATTTGGGAGAGAAAACGCAAGCTGGTAAAGGGCAGAGAGAATCCCAAGCAGACTCCGTGCTGTCAGCCCCAGATCAGCAGCAGCTCTGGGGGACCCACTCGTGCTGCAGGAGGGTGGCAGAACTGTTAGGCCTGGGCATTTCTGGAGAGTGAGTCCACAGAACTTATAAATTGGTAAATTCCAGGGGATCACGGTAGTGTGAAATGGGAAGAGGCCTGGTCATTGCACTTGAGGACAATACATCTTTGGATAAATCTCAAGAAATGAGAACTTTCCTTGCTTGCAACTTAGCTGTGAGCAGGTGAGGCCCCACATTGCTATAGTAAGTAAATACATTGGTCTGTTAGTACACAACAGGTTACTAATTATTTTTAATTTTTTTTCTACATTTATTTATTTTTGAGAGAGACAACGTGAGCAGGGCAGGGGCAGAGAGAGAGGGAGTCAGAATCCGAAGCAGGCTCCAGGCCCTGAGCCGTCAGCACAGAGCCCGACGCGGGGCTCGAACCCACAAACCGTGAGATCATGACCTGAGGCGAGGTCGTGTGCTCAACCGACGGAGCCGCCCAGGGGCCCCAATAGGTTAATAATTTTAACGAAGACTGTTTTTCTCTCGCTTGAGAAGTGGATACGTAGGCAGCTGTCGGCCTTGCTTCTAGTGCTCAGTGATGCCCTCGGGGACTCCGCTCTAGTTTTCCCTGCCGTTGGCCTTAGCATCTGGGCTTTTGTCCCCCGGTCCCAGGATGTTCCATCATTATGTCTGCATTGAAGGCAAGAAGAGGAGGGCTAAGGCAACCTGTCCTCACAGGAGACTCTCAGGAACACACTTTCCCAGAAACCCCCAGTAGACCTCAGTTTCACATCTCCTTTGTGCGGTCAAGTCAGGTAGCCACCCTTAGCTGCAGGGAAGGCCGGGAAAGAGATCCCGCTGTCGTTGCCAGGATCTCCCTGCACACCCTAAGGGGAGGCCAGGTCGGTGAGTTTCCAGCCTGAGCACTCTTTCCGACGCCTTGTCGGCCCAGCCGTGCCTTCCAGAGCCCACCCTGTGCAGATCCCAGCACATTCCACAGAAGGTCTTGGCTTGCGTGGCTGTTGGCATCAGCCAGGAAGCCCTCCCACGCCTTCCTGTCCCAGTTTGTGACCGCCACCTTTCTTACGTGAGGTAATCCTAATACGCTAAAAGATTTTAAATGCCATTTCCCTGAAGTTTGTCCTAGGTGTCCCCGGTTTCTTCCCCCTTTGGCTCTCTTGTGATATGTACCTCTTCCTCTGCGGCGTATGGTTTTCTGTAAGCAGATATGGGTGTTGTAGGCATCAATCTTAAGCCTTACTTCCTAGGGTTGTGACTTTTTTTTAAGATCTTATTTTTAAGTAATCTCTCCACCCAGCGCGGGGCTCGAACTCACAGCCCCAGGGTCAAGAATCGCAGGCTCAACTGACTGAGCCAGCCGGGCGCCCCTGAGGTGAATTCTGAGAAGAGGCTCGTACTACCTACTGGGCTTGGAAAAGGGCAAAAGTCGCAGACCGGCGAGAACGTGAACGCCAGTATCCCCGAGCCGCAAGGTGTGAACCCTCACAAGGGCTGGCACCGTCGTCCGTTACACCCCCGGCCCTCGCATCCGAGGCCGGCTCCCCGCAGGCCCCACTCCGCGGAGTCCCCCCCCCCCCCGGCGTCCTGGCCCGCCACCTGCCTGCGCGGGGACACCACTCACCCTCCGCCAGCGTGTCCTGTCGTGACCGCGCGCCCTGACGTGTCCGGCACGCGTGTGCCACTCTCTGACAGCTCACTCAGCCCGAGCGGCCGGGCGATGACTTCCTCCCTCTCGGGTTCGAGGGTGCCTTTCCTCAGGATCCAGCGAGGATTCAAATGGGGCGATGAACGCAAAGCGCGGCTGGCTGGCGGGCATCCACCACCGGGGAGTTCACTTGCCCCTCCTGTGAGCCTCCGACCCGCTCAGCCCAGGCCTTGTCCACACTGCCTTCCCCTGAGTGTTCCCTCTCTCAGCCTCCAGTCCGTTCCCCTCGGGGAGGGGAGGCCTTCGGGCGAAAAGTGACCGATGACTTCGTGGTCTGGCTTCGTGGGACGTTTGAGCCGGAGCGAGTTATGCTGCTTCGCCCCTCAGTTTCTCCATCTGTAAAATGAGGATGCTAATAGTCCCCTCCCCGCTGGGTTGGAATGAGCTCCAAGGGACTGGCCCTTGTTGTAGCTGGAAGTGCCTTGGGCCCCAAATGGGAACGCCACGATTTTCACGGTGTGATCTAAAGGGTATCAGAGCAGAGACCGCTTCCTGCTTTATTAGGGAAACAGTACACATTGGGGCAGGTCTACAGACGGGTGGTAGGAGCAGGGGGGGCTCCTTAGGTAAACTACCTTCTTTCTTCACTTTGGATGTGTCCAATGTTAAAAGATAAACTGAGGCGTATTAAAAAGTTTAAGAGTTTGAGCAAAAACCGATTCAAATTGGGCAGCATTCAGTCTAACAGAAAGGGGCTCTGAGGACCTGTACAAAATAATAGACAGGAGGCGCCAGCGTGGCTCAGTCTGTTAAGCATCTGACGTTGGCTCAGGTCATGATCTCGCAGTCCGTGAGTTCGAGCCCCGAGTGGGGCTCTGTGCTGACAGCTCGGAGCCTGGATCCTCAGCTTCAGATTCTGTCTCCCTCTCTCTCTGCCTCTCCCCTGCCTGTGCTCTGTCTCTCTCAAAACTAAACATTAAGAAGGAAGGGAGGGAGGGAGGGAGGGAGGGAGGAAGGAAGGAAGGAAGGAAGGAAGGAAGGAAGGAAGGAAGGAAGGAAGGAA